TGTGCAGTTCAGGAAAAATGGCAAGGAAACAACTGAGCAGTGTCCGGGTCGTTCTGGTCCATCGGTGAAGACAAAAAGAGCTGTCAAGAGGAGCATCGAAATGGATCCCAGATTAACGACTGCAGAAGTGGCCAAAGTTGGTGGGATGAGCCCGAAATCTCTTATCGTTGCAGTGCAGCTACACGGAAGCCCTTATTAAGACCTGCCAACATAGTCAGGTGAAAGAAGTGGGCAAATGATATGATGACCAAGCCTCTGGACTTTTGGAAGACCGTATTGTTCTCAGACGAATCAAGATTCACTCAATTTTCGGACAGTGGAAGGATATGGGTCTAGAGAATGCCTCACCAAGAGTTTTAGCTCAACAGATTGCAACCAACTCTGAAGCATGGTGGTTTCAGCATGATGGTTTGGGAAGCTGTTTGGGTTGGTGGGAGATCAAGCTTAGTGGAGTGCATTAGACACATAAATTTTGCGAAATATGTCGAAATACTGGAGGAAGAACTCTTGCCACTTTATTCCTCTGGTTTCGTGGACAAGAACACAACATTGTTCCAGGAAGATGGAGCACCGTGTCATACTGCTAGAAAAACCCAGAAATGGCAGGAAGAAAATGGTATCCAGAAGTTGCCCTGGCCGAGCCAATCTCCTGACTTGAACCCCATCGAAAACCTCTGGGCCATACTCGACCAGCAAGTCAAGAAACAACCAAAGAAACCAACTTCGAATAGCGATCTACTCCAAGTTTTGAAGCAAGAGTGGGCAAAAATCCCACAATCTAAAATTGACAAGATGATTCTCACAATGCCCCAAAGGATCAACGAACTCCACGAAGCGAAAGGAAGATCTACTAGATATTAATTAAATTATAAATATATCAATTCATGTGAATATGACTGAAAAATTTAATTTTTTCTGAAAAGGTGGTGTCTATTTACTTGTGACTATGCTGTGTAGTTCCTGCTGTTGTTGTATTTCTTGAATATAATGCAGTGGGGGATAACTTATTGGTAAATCTGTTAGTTAAAAATGGAATATCAAAGTCTGTTAAACCTGTATTTCAGTTAATGCTTGGTTTTCTTGTACTAATGTGAAAGGTTTCTGTGATTTTTCGTACTTTAAAAAATTTTTCTGTGTTGAGAAACTTGTAGTTGTTCCAGTTAATGGAGAAACATATGACCTACAATGATAGAGTTTTGTGTCTATTAGTTTCTTACTGTTTTTGTGCTCTTTAGGTCTTGCTCTAAAGGATATTATTACACTATATAATTTAAAGTGTATCCCTTAGGACTTGTAGGATGTATGTGATTAGGGTTTTTTGAGGCCATTATGGTTAGGTGAGTAATGTGTTACATACTTAACAGTGACTGCCTTGTAAAATAGAAAAAAACTGTCTGATTAAAACTTTTCTATTGTATGATCCCTCTTTATTTAGAAATATTAAATGGAATACTAATTAATAAATAAAAGCAACTGAATGACACACATAAACAAAGAAACATTTTAATTTTTATGGCATGAACATCTTTTACAAGCCAGCAAAGAGCAGTTACAAATTTAATTAATATAAGACATTAGTATTATACCTACTGCATTTTTAAATATTACATTTTAATCTAGTCCCTTAGGGATTTTAAACAATTAAAAGTGTCTATGATAATAGTATTCCAGCCACAGTATATTTGTCATATCTATTACATCTCAAAACTTGACTATAAGACACAAGCAAAATTAGAGCCACCTAGACAAGATGAATGGATTACTGTACTAAAGATTTAAGATTCTTAGCCGTACAAATCTTCTATCAAGGAAACCATCTCCAGAGCAACAAGACATCAGGCTGTAGTACTTTGATCACTATAAGAAAGATGCAAGAACCTCAGAAGCTTTATCTAATACTACATAGGAGCTATTTAGGGCTGACAGCACTAGACGTAGCAAGAATACTTTCACACACCACTTAGAGAACCCTAATAAACAATCCTATTGCAGAGGCAACTTTAAAATGTAAACTGTTCTGTTAGATATTAAGACTAGAATATCACCTTGAAACTTACAACAGAAGTTTGTGCAAAATGCTATGAAAACTATCAGCTAGGATCCTATACAGCTGATACCACCTCCCTTATTTACTGGCCATCTCTCCCAATCTTATGATGGAAGGAGGGCCACAATGTTCTAAACATACATAAAGTTACTTAAGCATACTGACAGCTGTCTCATCAGAAGTAATGTACACCTCATAGAAACTTCCAATTTAGAGCTCAAGCATCCAGTATTTTAGGACATCACCAGCTATTGTATCACAACATTTATATAAATAAAGTAACAGTGATTTAAACAACATTTTAGTAAACGAAAACAAAGTCTAACTAATTACCTTTCTCTCTTTTAGAGGTGGCTCATACCTGTAGCTCAAAGCCACTTTCACTAAGTAGGTGACTGCTTCTGCTCCCCATTCTCTCATCCGTACATGTGGATGCTGACAAACCTGCAAAATGAATCATCAAAACTTTTATAAATTAAAAGTAAACAAAGACTAGCTGAATTACAACAAATAACAATGTGTTCAAGTACAGGAATGTCATATGAATGCAATACAAATTCTCATATCAATATTTTATAACTGGAAGAGTTATACTAAACCAAAACATTTTTCAGCCAATGATTGCTAAAAATGTTTCTACAAAATTACAGTTCCTCCTTACCTCCAGTAGCTGATTTGTTAAAGGTATCTATAACACTGTAATGTATCATAACCTCAAGCAAGTGATTCTTAAAGACAAGGCAACTACAACACTGTAATGTACCATATCCTCCAGGAAGTGATTTTTAATGGTGTTTACAACACTGTAATGTATCATAACCTCAAGCAAGTGATTCTTAAAGACAAGGCAACTACAACACTGCAATGTACCATATCCTCCAGAAAGTGATTTTTAATGGTGTTTACAACACTGTAATGTACCATATCCTTAGGAAGTGATTTTTAATGGTGTTTACAACACTGTAATGTACCATACCCTCAAGCAAGAGATTCTTAAAGACAAGGCTGGTTCAACACTGCAATGTACCATATCCTCCAGAAAGTGATTTTTAATGGTGTTTACAACACTGTAATGTACCATACCCTCAAGCAAGAGATTCTTAAAGACAAGGCAACTACAACACTGCAATGTACCATATCCTCCAGAAAGTGATTTTTAATGGTGTTTACAACACTGTAATGTACCATACCCTCAAGCAAGAGATTCTTAAAGACAAGGCAACTACAATACTGTAATGTACCATATCCTCCTGCAGTTGATTTTTTGAAGGTATTTACAATATTCCAGTGGCATCTTTACCTCCAGTAGGTGAATTTTTAAATACATCTACAAAATTAACATGCACCATACCCTCCAGCAAGTGATCTCTTAATTCTCTCACTATGAGGTCAGTTGAACCAACTGACTTCATAACCATTTTGTAATCATTATAGTTTCCATACTATAACTTTTAATACACTAAGTGTATCTTCCCACAATTTGGCAGACTTTTAGTAAACATTACAAGTCTTTTGTAGATAAAAAATCAGTTTTTTAATGAAGTATTTTTACTAAATATTTGTCTGTGAATATATATACAGTATTTCTATATACTAGTCAGAGTAATAGGTGATTTTCACATTGATATTAAAAACACTTTTCTTCATGTCAAAAATCTTAAATTTTGTATAATCTCTAAAACCTCCTAAATAAATGTCAAATGTTGTTTTTTCAGTAAAACTTTATATTTTATCTGTTATTTTCTCTAACCTAAATTTATATAAGATTGGTCAGTTTGACTGACCTTGTAACCACAAAAAAATCAAAATAAATCTAAATTACCCTTTTTTCTTTCTATACTGACTTCAAATTGTAACACAAAACTACAGTTGTTTATCCTAAATAGCTTTACATTCATAACAGTATACATCTATTCATACTTAAATTTTATTGTTTTATTGCCCTTTGAACCCTGACTAATTACTATTCACACACTTATAAGTTTTAAATCAATTGTTAAGTGTGCAGTTCACATTACTCTATCAAATTACTTTATACATGAGCTACTTGAGAGCATACCTCATGAAAATTTTTTCTTATATTATTATTATTTATTTCACTTAATCTAACATTAAAAGTTTTCTATTTTTTTACATTTTAGTTACTTTTATAATAATAAATAAAGAATACACAATACCTATCTCGGTCCTCTTTTTTTTTTTGCTGTCAACTGTCAATGACACTTAACCCTAGTTTTTTATATTAATGGTTGTACTGAGCTAAATAATTTTTTATTTAACTAAATAATATACCAAAGAACACACATTAATAACATGAAAGAAGCAGACAATATCCCATAACTATCACAATTTTTATGGCTTTCTATCAATGCGACAAAAGCTGTTAAAAATTCATCTAAACTTGTCACCATATTTCCCATGGGTATAAATAGCTTGAACTGAAAGCAAAATTGACACTTTTCTTTACAGAAAACAGTGTAATATATGTCATTTGATAGATGAAAACATTGGATTTCTATTGGTTTTAAATTATGTAGTATTGAAGGGCAGTGAGAACTATTGGCAATTTCTAAAAGAGAGGCTGTGACAGGTGGTCATGGCAAGAGGGATTTGGTTGTCTATTTTATGGCTCTGTGACCAAATAAGATTGAAGACCATGAGAATTATGTTTGCCTGAGCAATGACAATATTATAATAAGCAATTTACGTTCAATTTCATACTTCTTGGAAGGGTGGTGAATAAATTAGAGAAGACACAGGACGCCTAGAGAGAAAATGTCACAATTCAATTAAAATATTGCCTTATAAAATTAAGAATATAAAACTTATATACCATTAATATATGGATTATTAGTTACAGTTTTATGCTGTATTAATTGGTATACCATAAAAAGAAAGTAGTTTAATTAAATTTTGAATGTACCTCACCAAAACCTCATGACATGCACAGAAAAAGATACCTGTGGAGAGAGGGTTAAAGGTATCTACAACACTAAAATGCACCATACCCTCGAGCAATGCCATTCCTATCTCCAGAAGATGATTTGTTAAAGGTATCTACAACATTGCAGTACCATTACGTTCAGCGGGTGATTTTTCCAAGGTATCTAAAACACTACAGTGCCATTCCTATCTCCAGCAGGTGATTCATTAAAGGTATCTAAAACATTGCAGTGCTATCCCTATCTTCAGCAGGTGATTTGTTATACGGTATCTAAAACACTACAGTGCCATTCCTATCTCCAGAAGTT